AATAGCAGCCACTCAGCATTTGGAGGCTCCCACCGCAGGAGTCCGAACAAAGCAGCTCTGCAGGTGTGAACTGAATACGGCTGCACTGCCGGGCACACCAGCACCTAGAGCAGCCCCAGGTGCCTGCTGACATCTCCTCTTGACCAGGGCAGCCGCACAATTTTTTGTCTCTTAGGTCACCTTGCTCTCCTCCTGTCCACACCTACTTGGCAAACTGGAGCAAATCAGTTATGGCCCAGCACCCACTGACTGGCTTCCTTCGGCTCACTTCATACGCTCAAAAAGCATCAGACCAGAAGTTCCAGACTCTGCTTCGTCCTTTGATCACCCAAACATCTCCTCAGTCACACAACTGTCCTCCCCTTCTCCCCTTCCACCTCCAGTCAAATTTCCCTGCCCGCACTGTCACCAGAGCAAGTTTTGCCTACTTGGAGCCATGAAACCATCCACTTCTTGCGAGTGCCCCTGAGGAGTGAACTGCTTTCCCGTCCTCCTCTCTCTGTCACCGGTCAGGTGAACATCCACTCCACCCTGCACGTGACATTTACCCAGGGAGGCTCTAACAGAGCAAAACAAGCATTCAAGGAGGTCTAGCTTCACAAACAAAAACGAGTATCCTTTCCCACAGGTAAAATTTCTTCATCATCCCCACATTCCCCACTCTCAACCCATTTAACCCAAATTCAAAAAAAAAAAAAAACCACCACACAAAACCTTTCCTCTTTCATACTCTGTGCCAAGAGAAATGTTTATTTTATTACCAAGGCTAAGCAGTTCCTTTTACAAAACAAACTGGAGCTCAACTCCAGTGCTGTGCTTGCACAGCAGTCCTGCAAGCTCTTCTGCTCCAAAAACTCTAATCATGGTAACTCTGCACCATGCACAAAAAACAAAAGTTATAAAGAACTCGTACTGCACTGCAGCTAAATCTTAACTTCTGACTAAGGTAAATTAAAGTTCATGGTTAAAGCAGGCCAAAGTGTATCTCTATCTGCAAGCTGGACGATTTAGATAGCCCTTCACAGGCTCAGGCCTTGGAGAGTGCAAGGTTTAGCAGCTGCACCCCTGTGTACCTGACAAGACGCAGCTCCATAAATACTAACACCAGAAGGTTGCAGCTACATCTCCATGCCAAATATCTGACAGCCAGCTCCTCATCAGGGAAGCCGGAAGAGAAGACCAGAGCCTAGCCGTAATTCATGATTTAATGACTGAGAGGACGGTTAAACTGAAGATGTGAAGCATTTCACGTTTAAATTATAAACTATAGAGACACCCCAAATTAAAGTTACTACAGATTTTCATTCACCTTTTACTCTTTTAAGTAAAAATGAAAGGTTAGAGAGTGTTATTTTTTACACTGTCAGCAAATGCCTTGAACTACACACACTATGCAATAAATACATTCAAGATTCAATATTGAACATGCCCAGGACTCCACATAGCAGGGTTTTAATTAATAAAAAGACAAAATCCAGCTTATTATCTCTTCCAAGATCAGAGCCACGATACATACTTCATATCAAAAACCTACCCCAGACAGGAGCACTCAGAGGGGATTGATTTGCCTCAAAAGCAGGCTGAAGCTTCTATGCTTTTCATGAATTGGTTTTGATCGACTCCTTGTCTTTGGCCTACCACTGCTGAAAAACTCCTCAAATAGACATTAGTTATGCTAATTGAAGTGGATTCAAAGGTTCAGTTTTGAGTCATCCCTTCAGGGCAGGGTCACATTGCAGTCTGCAGGATTCTCCAATTTCACAACTAGCCCAGCATAGGCAAAAAAACATCATGGTCCCAGGGCTTCCCATTAGATACCCAGCTTAAACACAAGCTTGCTGAAATATGAGGCCTTGCTTAAGAAACACTTATTGAGGAAAAGCAAATGAAGCTGTATGCAAGTGCACACAGACACCAAAAAAAGTCAGTACCTTTATCCATGAAGCACCTAGTACACCAGTGCAACCCAAAAGTCATGAAGCAAGTATAATTAACCCTCATCCTCACACCAAAACAAAGGGATTATTTGGCTCTTTCAAATGCCAAGACACTCTAACCAAATCTGACAGTTATATCTTTATAAATAACATGCAAACAAAAGCAAAGAGAAAGTAACATTTGCAGTTCAGGAAAAGACATCAAAACAAACCTATCCCTGGCACTCAAATGCTAAACTAAATGTGAGAATCTGATAATGTTTTGAGTGGTTGAAAGCTAGGACATGAAGGAGAGGACTTCTTGTTTTAAAATTAATTATTTATCACTCCTTCCAGCTATCAAAGCTCCTGCAATGACTCATCCACTTTTTTTTTTTTTTTTTAAACTGAAGTCTAAATTGTATGAGAAGACTGTACTTCCACTGGAGCATCTCCCCCCGAGTGCAATATTTAACTCGGCATACAAGAAAGGATTTCAGAAGCTTCATTCCTCTCTCCCACGAAAGATCACCTTTTCATTGAGCCTGAAACGAAAAATCACAATAAATCACAAGGCAAAATGAAATTTATAATTTGTACGTTAAGAGAGAGAAGAGAAGATAAAGGCCACCTCAGCCATCCATAGCAAGACGTGTATTCTTCTAGTGACAGTACGGGCTGCAAGCAATGAGAAAAAGGTTTGGCCATATCACCACAAATCCTCAATAAATATGCCACTAAACGATCCAATGCTTTTAAACCCATGCAGACAGTTCCTACAGTCTGTAAAGGCAAGCATGCCTGCAGAGGAGCTGCCTTTTAAGTTTACAAAATTAAGGACGCAACCCTGCACCCCATATCCACACAAACCTCTTTTCAGAATTAACACCATTAAATAAACTAAGCTGTAAGACTGGAGCACAATCTGCAATATCTATGTACAGAGCTTGCTCTTTTCCTGTGCTAAAATTACATCAGAACGTTACGAGACATTTGCATATCTCCCACGCACGCAATATTTTGTCAGCGGTGACAAGACAAGGGCCTCCAGGCTCAGCAAGCGCACCAGGGCGGCGCACCCGGAAAGGGCGGCCGACCTGCTCTGCGGGAACACCCGGGCTGAAGTCCAGCGCCTCCCGGGAAGGTGCTGCCCTTCGCCAGCCCCGAGGCTTCGCAGCCGACCGCCACTTATCCGTGTCAGATGCGAAGCTCCCCCGGAAAGGAAAAGCTTCCTACTGTTCCTCCCCTCTGCACAGCCTCACGGCTCCTCTCAGGAAAGCAGCGACGTTCCCCCATCCTTTCGCCAGGAGAACGGGCCCCACGTTTCCCTTTCACTCTGTTCAGCCCAGGGGCTGCAGTGAAATAGGAGCAAAGGAAAGAAGAGTCTCTGCTGGGTCACCCCTCCCCTCGTCTTGCCTATGTTCCCAGGTTTCCTGGGAATAGTTCTATCAGAAGCCTGAGCTGCTGCCTTTAATTTTAACCAGGCAGAAGTAACAAGAAATTCACAGGATTCTTGTCCATTTTACAGCCACAGGAGTTTTGCAATAACTTCAATTAAAACAACCAGGCTTTCAACTTTACTCCAGTAAAGCTATTAAAAAAAAAAAAAATTTTATATACACACACACATATATATATGTGGGAGGGGGGGAAGGGAGAGGTAGCAGACCTGTTTGAAGAGTTTGATTTACACTCTGGTGCACATGCACACTGTTATTTTCAGAAAAGCTTTTATTTAAAAAATAAAAATGATGACAGTGCTAAAAATTTCTGGTGCTCATCCATCTCCTAAGCTTCCATTAAAAAAAAAAAAAAAAGCAGCTAAATCGATCCAACTAAAAGGAATTAAAGTAATAAAAAGTTACAACCCATCACAGGAAGACACCTGAACTGCCATGAGTAAAGTGTTACACCGAGCTGTGAGAATAAGTTTAAGCGAGTTGGAAAGCCAACCCTGGGATCTGGCGTTGTAATTCAAGTCGTGCTGCATACTAGAAACTGCAGCCTGCACGCTCAAGTCTTACCGGCCTTGGCCTTCCCGCCGACTCTTCCCAACCGCTCGTTTTTCCCAGGCCCACCCTACCCTGGTACCCCTGCAGCATAGCTCACATAAAATACAAACTGAACAAGTCAATTAATCTGGAACTCAAGTAAGTCTCAATTATTGGGCAATAATGAGAAAACCTGAAAATAAACCCATACAACTGACTCAGCATAACAATAACAGACTAAATACAACACCTCCCCCCAACACGATTAATAACCATTTGTTAATCATCATGTTACTCAACTGCAGGGAAGGTGCCCTTGCAGCACAACTTGGGATCAAGGCACAATTAGAAACAAAACAACCCAAAATTACGTTTGTCAGTATCGAAACAGGCTGAGTGCAAACCACGCACAGGGGACTCGACACTGCTCTAGCAAGCCAGCTTTCTGCCACCAGCACGCTTGGGGAACGGAGGCCAGAAAAGAGCAGAAGCCCGAGGAAGGGGGCCAACGCTGCTGACCAGAGCAGCGGAGGCTCGTCCGCGGGTTGAAAATGTGCCTCGCCGTTGTACAGAACGAGGAAAACAAGTCCGCTCCCTACACAGACTTTTAACATGGCAGATGACACTCCAAAAACACACCAAGAAACATCAGTAACACTGTTATTAAAACCATTCAAACCTCAGAAAACATTCTCAGCCAGTGCTGATTCACACACCGTCCTTTAACCCTGCGCACATCAATCCACGCTCGGAGTGGCGCTAAGCAAGAAACACTCACATCCCTGGCCGCGGATCAGTCAGATTCACTTATCTCGGGGACGCCTCCAACTCCAGAGGGTCATCAAGATATTTTTGAGAGAATCTCTTTGTAAAATGACATGACCCTGCAGCCTGCCTAGCTCCAGCATCTCCGATTGGACTATCCAGAAAGCCGAGAATAAGCCCCAAGGCCTTTCGTGACAAGCTGTAAAACTCAGCCATTTAAATATTTTAAGTAATAATGCATAACATGACTATTCAGAGTGTTCAGCTGGAGAACACAACTGCACTCATCCTCGTTCAAAAATCAAAGCTCACTGTCAGGTTTTCATACCTGTCTCGCCGCGAACACGCTCGGCGAGTGCCCTTGGCCGCACACAGCTTCCTCTCCCCGGACGCGTTACAGCTCTGGCTGCAGTTGTGGGGGGACTGTTTGGGGATTTTTTTGGTTCCTCTCTCTTTTTTTTGGTTGTTTTCAGATGTTATCAGTGACTGGAGCTTTTCCTGGTACACCAGCTCTTTCTGAAAAGTAAACATATACTCACAGAATTTCTGCAGGACAAAAATACAGAAAAAATAGGTCAAGCAAGACAGCTCTAGCATATTGCTTTGCTGACAAATACTAGAGGATGGCGCCGACTATGACGTTAGCACGCGCGGAGCAGCAGCACCCTGTCCAGCCGCTCCCAAAGAACAGGAGCCTCGAAACTGCCTAACTTCAGGGAAGGTTGTTTCAGGTGTTGCACCTGCACGCTGAATCCCTCTGCCGGATATTGAGGTTCGTCATCGTTAAACGTGTATACCGCAGAAGGAGCTAGAGGCCTCAAGTAGGTCAGCATGCAAGGCGCAGAATATACACATAATACATGACAGGCCTTGTCTCACCATATGTTTCTGTTTTGAGTGTTTCTCTCTTCCCATTCACACTGCTATGTGAGCAACCCACACAGGCAAAGACAACTCAAGGATGGTGCAAAAAATCACCCCGAGTTCACGCAGCGATAGACGTAAGTGCTATCCAGTGCACCAGGTAAACAAAAGTAATTCTTCCCCGAGTTAGGACAGTACATAAAAAAACCCTAAATTTTAAAGCAAAGCAAGTTTGGGGCTTTTTACGTGGCCAGAGCTCTGGTAATTACAACAAAGCTAGAAAGGGCAGTTGAAATGAGCTTTGGTAAATGTTTATGGATGAGAGCTCCAATTCTCATCCTCCATAATCCATACACACAGTTTTACTGAAAGAAACCAATTTTCCTCAGTTTTTTCCTTCAGTCTGAGCTCTAGTTGAGATAGGGCAGGGGTACAAAACCAACCAACCAAATGAAATATTTACAAGAGCTGTAGGGAGAGAAAACATAGACAAAAAGAGTGCTAAAAGCCACGCTTGTATACCTTAAATCAGATGAAGAATTAAAGAGAGACAAACATACTGTAAATCACAGATGATGCTTAACAAGACGACAGACTTCTTGGCATCCCGATTATTTTACGAAGCTGCTTCTCATGCCTAACCACAGTCCCAAACTACCGATCTCCCTCCCCAACGCTCCTATCGCCACCACCTCCGCCGGGCCGCGGGAACGGCCCTTCCCTGCCCTGGGCCTCCAGCAGCCCAGCCACCATTGCGGGCTCACCCCAGAGGGCTGCAGCGTGGGAGGCACAAGCCACAATGCAGTGCGGCTCGGCAAGTGAGGAAAAGCGCTGCAGGCTGGCCATGGCCCAGGCTGTAGGGCACACAGCTCTGGGGCAGAGCGCAAGCTGATGTTCTATATTGACCTTTGTCTCTGAAGTTCTAAAACATCATGTTTCCTCCATAGACATGATTCAAATAAATAAGGGCAGTATTTTGCTTTAACTACTGCAAGACTTCAAAACAACAGATCCAGGGGGTTTCTGGGATTTTTGTATTTACAAAATTACTTTTCATGGACGTTAATTTTGTTTTTTTAGTTTAAACATCATTACCCTTAACGGTCATAAGACCTCACGAAATTTCAACTGCTCATAAAAATGGCTTTGCAGCCTGTTTTGAAAAGCATTTTTACTTCAGCAGGTGGCAGATTCTGTTTTTGAGCAGGACATTTTTTTTTTGCCTTTATTTTCTGCCTGCAGAAGATAAGAGTTATGGGAATAGGAAAAAGACTTGTTGATCAAATGAATTCTAATTATGCCTAGAAAACTTTTCTACAGCATCCAATAATACAGTGAGCAAGAGCTACTTCATGAAATGAAAAGTCAAGTAAGTGGAAAGTTTGAGAGCTGACTGCTCAGCAGTAAAGGCCAGGTTTTACATATTCAATCACCAGGAGCAGTAGAATGGTAGAACTGCAAACAAATTCTAGCACTTGAAACAAATCTAGAGAAACGTGTTATTTATTTAAACATAAAAATTCTCTAAAAGAGGTCAATAAAAAGCAGCACACAAAGTAACACAATATTACAGCATTATATATACTATAACGCAGCAGCATTAAAATAATTGGGCAACAAAGAGCTCTTTGTTTGCCCCTTGCAAAACTTTCTCCATCTTTATTGTCTGAGGAGCCAGACAATAATGTCACCAACTACTTAGAGCATGTGCTTTTCACCACCAAGAGGTGCAAATACAGCATTACCTGGCAACGTGTTGGGCACATCTACCCAAGGAAGGAAAAGTCGTCTTGGAAAGGCCACCTCCACCACCCACCTTCTCCCCCAAATCCTTTCCCTGCTTCTCAGTTCCTAGAAATGTTTCACTTCCCAGTTAGACTAAATGGGGCACAGAGGTGGGTAGGTGTGGACAAGGATGGGCTTACCTCACTCCGATGCTGAGCCTCACTAAGCTGTTTTTGCTTGCCAGTGTTCACAACTAACCTCCAGGTGAACATACTGCGATGGTGTGGCCTTACTTAAAAAAAGTGTCGCCTACCTAATACAAGGGATGAAGCTTGAGGGAGCAACTACGTGTTGAGAACCTCTCCCCATCTATCCAAAATACACCTCCAGAGGTTCCGGTGGAGAACAGAGAGCAGGTAAATATTTCAAAATGTCATATCGTGTCAAAACACACAGCTAAGATTACCCCCCAGCCTGCTGCATTTGGTATCTATCAGGTAGGAAACACATCCAAACACATGAAAATATGCAACATAACATTTTTCTGGTATAAATTTAAATGGAGAACTGCTACATTCTGACCTTGGTCATATTTTTGCATGCTATAGCAAGTTTGCTGACAAGCATCTGCATACCCTGCGCCTTTCCTCACCCAGGTGTTGCAGTCGATATCACCACCCAACTGTTGGGACAGATCCAGACTTACAGAAGAACTAGCTGGCTGGAAAAAGCTCAACTCACAAAAAAGTTTTGTTGTGGAGACTGGCTTTTGTTACTCAGTGATGGACAAGTCTCACCTATCCAAAGAAGTACAGAAGCAAAAACAGTGAAAAATAATCAAAATAAGGCTACTTTCCCACTTCTGTATCTAAAGTCAACATTGAAAAATTCCGCATCAGGAATAGAACTCCACCAGGAAGAAAGGAAAAAAGAAAGAATGATCTCACATGAAAATTGTAACCTTGAAGTGAGTACGTAGAAGTCCTTTTTACTGCAAAATAGTAGTCAAAATGAGAACTCTATCTACACCTAAGTAAAAATTTACCTCTGCTTTGAGGCAGCCTTGGCAATAACATCAATATAACTGTCTCATTACATGAGCATGCAGATCTGCAGTGAAGCCAATCCAGCTCTGAAAATCAACAGAGCATTTTCTACAGCAGCAGCCTGTTTTAATATTAAGCTAAAAGCCTATGTATAGATTAACATTCTAAAAAGCCTATCACATGCAATACATTTGGAGTTGAGTATACCTTCCCCCAGAGACTGGAGGACACTTATAAATACAAAGCTCTTTCAATATATCCATCTTCTTTCTTCCCTTTGGCAGCCGTTGTCAAAAATATTGGTTGCAGCAAACTGATTTTATTTTCATAAGCAAGCTATTTTTTATCTTGTTTTCACTGTCCTTTTCTGCCACAAGTTCCCATGGCTCATACATATGAAACGCAATGGACCATCAATGCAGATTACATCTGGCATTCCGTAAACAGGTAAGAGCAGGCTGACTCACGATACCTGTTAACTTAAAGTTTGATACCAATATATTTTTATAGTTTATTCATGGATAGATCTGATATATTAATGAGTAAATCTGTTAGATTTACCTACCTCTGGAGAACTAATATTATCTCTTACACTGCAAAGGGATTTCAACTATGTGCTGAAACGCTGGTAAGCAGGACGCAAGAAACAAAAACAGAAAATAACCAAGTAAATTCATACCTTCCCTGTGTCCCCTTTATTTCTACTTCCAGTAGGAGGTAGGCATTGCCGCTTACTATGCGCATATAGTAAATAAATAGCTTATGCAGACAAGTTGGTTTTTTTTGAAAGCACATCAGTGAAACGTGATTTAAAATAAACCAACTATGTCTGAGGATATCACTGTTTCCCCTGGCACTCCACAATTCTGTAGCTGCAGAAATTCCTCCTAAAAAATTCAAAAGTGCTTAAAGCTCATGCTCTTACAAAAGAGCTTTCCAAATATACTTATATTATATATACATACACTCCATCAGAGCAACCAGACCACAATACTTGCACAGTAAAGCCCCTAGCCACACCAAAAATTTTGCTGATCTAGCTGTATCAGTCTCCTTCCCCACCCCCTCCCCCCCCAATTATGCCAGCAAAAACCTTACTGCAGAAGCCTTTCTACTGGCAGAGAGATTTTTCTGCCAGCATAAACTGTTCCTTTCACAGGACTTGGTTTAAACAGCACTAGTGGAAAAATTCCTCCGGGAGCCTTAGGAGCACCACGGCAGGAAGCGGCGAGGTAGGGTACCGAAAGCATGCACGCGGGAGGGTGACGGAAAAGCAGGAGAGCATGCACCAGTGCAGCTTACTTCTACAGAGGAAGGGAGCAAGAAGTTAGTGCCATCACACCAGGTCTGTGCTAGCAGAAACTGAACTGCAAAGTCACAGCCCTGCCACCAGCAGTTACAGGAGTACAATTCTGCATACAGGTCAGAACCGTCAGCTTTGACAGATTTAATTTTTTTATTTGGATTTTCATGTCATGTTTGTGAATATATATAATCTTCCCAAACGAACAGACAGCCTGAAAACATACATGCAAGCTATTCCATTTATACCAAGGGGACACTAACCCATTTCCCCAAGCGACGATCAAGTCTCAGTTCAGTTAACTGTTTCACTGCTGATAAGATACGTATTAGTATTTATCTGCTACAACCTGTCTCAGCTCCGAACCATCTTTAAAAACCTCTCACTGGTAAAACCATCCATATGTTTTCCCAATTGGGAGTAAACAACCTCTCTGCTCTCCCTAATGAAAGTCCTTACGATGCAGACTCATCCCGACTCCACAGGAAGTTCTCAATAATAAAAATAGAGAACTATGGGCTAGAACAACAACAAAAACACAGCTTTGAGGAGAAATTCGGTACAGTCACAAGAATTGCACTGCTTGTGTTTCCATTTCAATATAAATACCTTTGCTTCTCCTCCTTCCTTTCTTTCTTCTCCCTCCCGCCCCCAGCCCAAACCTGCTGCAGGTTATCCCGCCTGCCACATCTCACGGCTGCGGAAACCAGGAAGGCCTGGCTGCAGAATTCAGGTCAGCTTGTCTGCGGAGCACATGAGGCCTGCCCAGAGCCATACATTTTCTAGCAATGCTTCATTAATCCCTCTTCATCCTGCTACGCAGCTATTTAACTAGTAGCTACCAGCTTTCCTCAACCCCTTGGCAAAGACACCGCAGGAGGGATGTTTGCGGGCAAATCTGCCGCTCTCTCCTCCCCGCGAGGCAGGAAGCTGACTGCTGAATTCAACAAATGCCATTCTTATTTCCCCAGATAAAATAGTGAGGGCTTCCCAAAGCATGCTAGAAAAGGACTCCCCTTTCTGCAACCACACAGGGAAAGATTTAATCAGACAGAGCTGGGAATTACCCTGCAAATGCTAAGAATAATTTTCGTAACAGATCATCTAAACAAAACCTCACTCTTTCCATCTGCGTCAATAAATAAAAAAATAACCTCAAAAGGGGTCTGTAATAAATTCAGACAAACCAAGGAAAAGATGCTGGTATTTCTGGAGAGAAAGCATCATTTCAGTGGAAAACACTGTACCTCTTCAAAAAACACTTTCCCCTAAAAGAAAACTGCAGGCTACTGTCATTCCAAGCACTGCAGGGACATGCCTAAGCAGCCCTATTCTTGAGGGATCTCTAAGGTGCATAAAAAATATGTACAAGCCTTTTCAGAACCCGGACCTCGAGACGGGAGTTACACATGCACTAAAATGTAGTTATCTAAGAAAAAAAATGAATACAATTTTAAATTAAATAAACAAAAACCTCAAACCTTTCCTGACTGTCTGCATGCAACAAGACAAACCTAACAAAATCCTCTGGATGCATGACAATTTGAAAGATTTGTTTGCAAGAACAAATATTGGTTTTCAGAAACAGTTATGGGAATCTCAGCAAATAAAAACACAGTTAACAAGCTGGTATTCGGTTTGTTTTAAAACCTATCAGCCTGCTCCCTTTCTGCACCTATAGCTACCTCATAACACTATGTCCCTAGAGAGCTGGCACGTGTATCTCCCTACTAGGAAAAAAGAACAAAACGGAGGAAAAACTCTGTCCTTCAAGTCATCAAACTGCTCCTCAACATTCACTAAGAGTACTTCTAGTCAAACTCTTCCCAGCTCACGTGGAGCCTGAATACAGGCATTGACAAGCACTTACCGGGCTGTCATCAGCTGTATAAATCACGCACCCCAGGAAACGCAAAGCCGCGTTTATGTCTAGCGCAGACCTCCTGCACGCACCCACGGCAGCCCCACAGAGGAGGCACGGTCTCCCTACTGGGTCGCACACGTTAGCAATGCTTTTTAAGGGACAGAGCGCTATTTTTACAGCTAATGCTTGTTCACCGCTTCGACTCAGCAGCAGACAGCTCACCCCATTCGCACTCGGTACCTGATCAAGCTGTGCTTCAACTCCCTCCTCCGGCTCCGGCTCGGCTGAGTGCAGGCTCCGGCAGCTCCAGCAACGGGAAT